CCAATGGCGTTCTGGATTCCGTCCTTAAGTCGGCCTCCCAAACAGGTGATCAACCGGAGTGTCCGGCTAAAACTGGCGGTAACCGACAAGGTCCTGACTCAACCCGGAATCTTCTACGTTTCGGCTTCTTTCTCTCGATTTAGTTATACATTCACATGTTCTACATGTAAACACAGTTATTTGGAGTCAGACGGTTCTTTTTCATCATCAACTGAATCGCAGTACGAGTTATCATGTCAACATCACATGCGCAAGAGAACTCTAACCAGACTTGTCATTAAGCAAATCAAACAAACTTTGGACGCTGATTTGATTTGTTTGTACAAAACTTAAGATTGTATTTGAGTTGTTTAGTTTGATAGTGTTTTAGGAGGCCGTTTGTTTGAAAGTTTGATAGATTTGATACTGTTTAGGTGCTGATCTAATCGTATATCGTATATATTACTAAGCTTCGCTGTCCCACTTGCATATTTCGTATATTGCAGCTACCTCAGCGTCAGTTACATCGCCTGAGTTGTAATCAGATGGAGGCTTAAAGCCAGCGTCGCGCCAGCTTCGTATACACTGTATTGCTGTAAGCAGTTGTGACCCAATTTTGCGTCGCCTTGGCTCTAATAAATCACCGAGCTCGCTGAACAGCCGCTCGCACTCACAACTTGAGGCTGGTATTGTTAATATATCGATCGCCATACGCGCTAGGTTAGGATACTTTGGGCGTAGGCTTATCCAATAGCTAACAGGATTACTACCTTGTTCGAACTGCTCCTGCGTCCAGCGGAGTTCAAACCGTCGCCAACGCTCCAGCTCATCCATCTCTGTCACCTCAACAATGCCATAAGGCTCCGCATTAACGAGCGCGTTGATGGCGTCGTTGATACCGCTTGAGAGCCGCACTGGTGGGCGACTTTGGCGCTGTATTTGCGGCTTATAGAACGCCCAAAGTTGTTTCAACCCAGCGTTGTTTGCCTCAAGCCAGCTCGGTTTGTCGCGCCAGCTGTTCTCACAGTAGTTCTTGTAGTATGGGTGGAGGCAGGTAGCGGCAAAGTATGCGGGTGATTCGTCGAGCTTAGTGTAATACGCGTTAAGCTTTGCCCAAGCTGCGCGTAGGTTGATAGGAAGGTGATCTTCTGGCGCGCTATTGGCATTATAGTCGACGCTTTCGTGGTTTTTAAGTAGCTGCTCGTACACGGCAAGTACAGCTTCGAAGACAGGTATAACCTCGTATATCGCGCCGAAACGGCCAGCTTTACCGCGAGCTTCAAGCCGTTTTGTCGCCTCCTTTAGCGGCTCCAACACTGATATATACTGGGTTATTACCGCCCAATCGTCAGCCGTAAGCCCATTAGATCTCATCCAAGCTGGTACTTTAGTGAGCTTATTGTTACGGCTACGCGCGTACGCGTCGGCGCCCATCGTCCTTTCGATGTGGCTTTGGGCGTACTCATCAACGGCGTTATGGAGTTTTGCGGCGCGTACAAAGGTGTCGTGAAAGCTGTTCCAGCGCGTGACGACTGGCTTTACCGGCTCGAGTATTTCCTGCTTTTGGTCGGGAGCCTTAGCGTTAACACGGCGCTGGCAATCGGCAAAAAGATCGTGTTGTTGCGGTGTTTGGATGTAGTTGATGATATCGATTAGTACACCAAGCGGACCTTGCTGCCGCCATTCTTGTAGGTAGGCTGCCTCTGTTTTGTGCTCGTCCTGATCATTATCGTACGCGTCCTTATCAAAGCCGAAGATAATCATCTGTCCGACTAAGTTAAGTGTGTGAGGGCCGCAGCGGAGGCGGTGATGGCTTGCTGTAAATTCAAAGCGTTGGGCGAGTTTGGTGACGGCGGTGTCGTTAGCGTACGCGTTGTCGAGCACAAAGTACCCAAGCTGGCTACGTGTTATACCGAAGACACCGATTATATTGCCAACAACTTCAGCTATCCTCTCGCCCGTGTGGGCGCCCGTAAGCTGAGGCAGCGCGATAGGTAGGTCCCTGATAGTGCCGTCGGCGTCAGCAAAATGAGCAACAACTCCAAAGAAGCCGCGCTTGCCGCCTTTTGTCGTCCAGCCATCGAAGCTTATATGGATTTTATTGAGAAGCTGGCACTATTAGTAGTAGTATGACTACCTAATAGAGCGCTCTCTAAGGCACAACGGTAGTGGTGGTACAGATTCGTATTGTATTGACTAAGGAGCTATTCACACGTTCGTAGATCCGTGTTGCGTGCAGCTGCGTCCAAGCTCCCCGCTAGGACCCACCTGCACGTGTCACCAATCATGTGACTACTCCTCCGCTTGATACCACCAAGTCACTTACGGACTGTATTCTCAACAGATTTTACTAATAGCCGACGAGAGCATCTGAACAACCTGCGGCTCCATATAGCGATACAGCCTCATCACGAAGCTAGCTACACTGTTGTGACTTACCCACAGCGCGTCAGCTGCCTCCGGGTTGGCAAACTCTATCATCTGCCTAAACGCAGGCGTTTCGAACTCGCGGAGAGGGTAATTATTGTCGACAAGCCACGTAACAACGGCGTATCGAAAGCGCTGTACGTCGAAGTTTCCGAGCTCGTTAGCGACGCCTTGAGGTACATCGACACCGCCCTCGGTCATCATCTTAAGCGTCGTTTGGCCTCGCGGTAGTGTAATCGAATCCAGTTTGCCCTTGCGATCGTAGCCGTGGCCAAGTAGCTTCTGCGCGAGGTGGTTGATAGCGTTACTGGTCGACTTTGTAACCTCTGGATAGGCGCAAAAGATCTTACGATGATGGCAGTATTTGCAAACAAAGAACGTACGATGAGGCTCACGGAGAGAGGCAACGCGGTAACCGTACTGATATACCCAACTTTTGTTGCGCTTCAACGTACGCAGCAGCTTCGTAAAACGCGGTAAACGCTTCTAATTAATGCCGTCAAAGTTGTCCGTAAACTCGTCATTAAAGCCAGTATTATCCCCGCCTTCGATAGCCTCACTTGTAGCCTCCGTAGCAGCCCTACTACCCTCGGCCGGCGGTTGTATAGTAGCTTCTGGTATAGCGTCGCGCAACTGCGACTCGAACGGCGCGTCTTCGGTGGCCTGGCTTGCTGCAGCAGCTAGGGCTTTACGTGGCGAGGTGCGGATAGACAGCTCAGGCTGCGAATCGTCCATCAGGATAGGCTGCGATGCACTGCCTTTAGCTGTTTTGGCGCGCTTGTGGGGGCCGTGGGGGCCGGGGGTGCCCTCGGCGGCGCGTTTTAGGTTACGAAGCGGCATTTTCGGCGTGTTGGGCAACGAGAAACACTAAAACGTGCTGTAGAGACGGTAGTGTAGCTGCAAAAGATGGCTAACAGCGATATAGAAGATGGGAGATGGGATATAAGATAGCGGTCATCGACGGCTAGCGACGCTCGTGTAGTTATATGATGACTAAGCTAGATGCAACACAAGAAAACTATCGCGAAATTGCTACCTCCGCTATCTCAAAAACATCATTAAAGTCGATCTTAAAACACCTTAGGACATCATCTATAGAACAGCTCGCTATGTAATATTAGTCAAACTGTTGACACGGCAAAGGTGTCGAATACTAGCAGTCGTTGCAACGAACAAAGTGTATAGTATTTGATTAGTAGTGAGCAAGAGCTGGATGGAGAGATCTCCATATGTACGGTTGCGAGCTAAGCGGGAAGCTTGGTCTAACTAGTGGTCCAAGCTTCCGGCCCGGAAAAACTCGCCGGGCTGGCTGTACGCGCATGTCCCGACACAAACAGTCAAACAAACTAAACAAATTTCGATCGTACGTTTGATTTGTTTGTATAATTTCTATTAGGCAGCGTTTGGTTTGTTTAATTTGCTTATAGTCAAGCAAATCAAACAAACTATTGGAACAAGGTCCCTCTAGTAGTATGACTACTATGGATAACCGAGTGGGAGGAGGGACAAGGCGGGGTGGCTGCAACGTATTGTATTGACTATCGTGTCATATTTCAAGCTCTCAGGCTGTTGTGGTGGATGCCATTGCCCACCGGGCAGTGCCTGCCACACCAGCACATCATGTGACCCCCAAGCACCTTCTACCTGGACTGAACCCAGATATTCTCAACACAAACTATTCAAACGCGTTTGCTTAATGACAAGTCTGTCTCTAACAGTGGGGGGGGGGGGCAATTCGACTTCTTCCTAGATTCATATCTGCGAATGAACAAGAACTATCATCGCCATCGTCATCATCGCCACCTGGTGCTCGAATTGGAAAAGTTACAGACCAGGAGGCACAGAATCCTCATGATCAGACTTGATTCCTATCTAGGCCTGACACGAGCCTAGTATAGGGACGTGCATACCTAATTAGGAATCAAGCCTGTAGATCGGCTTGATTGTTGACAAGTCTGCTCATGATACACAACGAAACCTGATAGACAGAACCATGCACCAGGAAAAGAAAAAGTCGACCTTCAGAAAACGGATGAGCCTCAAAGAGCTATTGCAAACTTGCTTTGGTTTCATGATTCTATCTCTGCGATCGTGTTCCAGATCGCCAAGTGAATTATGCCCAGAGCACAAGACCGGATTCCTTGGTCGCAGACTTGTCATTAAGCAAACGCGTTTGAATAGTTTTGTCAGATATAATGAGATATTTGTTGAGAAGGTGTATGTACCAATCAACGCAGGGGCAAAGAGTGTTCACTTTTTGTCTCAACAGGTTATGAGCACCGGTTGCCAAAACTGACGTCATTGTTTTGATCCCACCAGAAGTCGCGTAGGACTCAGATTCAAGAAGGAATCAAACCTCAAAAGTCACGAATGACTTAGCTACAATTCGCGGAAGGAATTGATCACCAACTAGAGTCGCGCAGGACTCAGATTCAAGCAGGAATCAAACTCACCTACCCACACCTTCTCCACGCTCGAGAACCGACAACATCTGCACCGCCTGCACCGCCTGCACCGCCTGCACCGCCTGCATCGCCTGCATCGCCTGCAGTATACTACCTATACGTCCAAGCTTCTCTTACCTCTGATACACAATGGCTGAAGCAAAGGAGGAATGGAAGATCCCCAAACTTACGGCTGAGAATCACGATGCTTGGTTCCGCCGGAACAAAGTCAAGCTGAAAGGGAAGAGAGTCTTCTACGTATGCGAGAAGAGCCTAGAGAAGCACTGCCAGATTGCTACTCCTAGGGACCTATCAGACGCTGTGAAAGAATTGGACATTACAGACAACAAGACTGCTAAGGTCTGCATCAACGTCGACAAGAGAGACAAGTACCTAGAGGACGAAGCAACTGCAATCGACCTCCTGTTTAGATCTCTTGGCGACGATGACCAGGCCCTTATTGACGAGTACGACACTGCCTTCCAGTTCTGGGCTTACTTGCGCAAGAAGTACACCCAAAACAACGCTACAGCCGCCAACATGTACATGACTAGGATCCAGACATTTACATTCGATTCTGAGAGCACAATTATTGGGTCATGGGAAAAGCTGAAGGACTACCGACGCAAGCTTGTGGCAGCGGATGCTGACACTGACGGAGCCTACAAAGACTCTGCACTGCTACTCATCCTTATCAGATCACTCCCAACGAGATTCAGGACTACAGTTGACACCGTAAATGCACAGCTCAACCTCACTGTCGAACAGAAGCTCAAGTTCCTGGAAGAGAAGGAGGTCCGAGACCAGCAAGACGCCAACGAGCAAGCACTTCCAGCATTCAGGAAAGCCTATAAGTACGTTCCGCTGCACAAGCGAGGCGACAAAGACTTGCTGTCGTTGTCATCTGACTCTGAACCCGGTGCTACGTCTGGCATCCAGTGCTATCTTTGCGACCAGCCTCACTACATGCGAGACTGTTCAAAGCTTGGGAAGGCTCGACAGCTCTTGAAGGAATATGAAGTTGAGAAGAAGCAAAGGAAGAAGAAGTCGCTCCCTCCTAAGTCGTCTAAGCCTCCTCCTAAGCTTGAGAAACCCAAGAAGAAGACTAGCAAAGCGTATGGAGCCGAAGAAGCCAGGTCGGATTCAGAGCTGGAGACATCAACTGATACCTTAGACTCGGAAGACGAGGAAATTGAGACATGCCGTCTCTCCAAAGACATCCTCGGTAAGGCCTCTCCATCTACCTGGGCCGGCGACACTGGCGCCTCCTCACACATGTCTGACCAACCCTCGCTGTTTAGACAAATGATCAAGATTAAGCGGAGACTCGTTCGGGTTGGAGGGGGAGAATTACACGCAGACTGGAAAGGAGAAGCCCAAATGGTGTGCAAGGATGGATCTTCGACATGGCTTTCAGATGTACTGCTTGTACCCAACCTTGGAGTCAATTTGTTATCAGGGAGACGAATTTGCGCAGCAGGCCTTAAGGGTCGCTTCAATTCCCACACACTGTCCTTCAGACTGGGGAAAAAGACGATCATTAAAGCAACTATGGACGATGGTCTCTACGTAGTGTCACACATTGCAGATGGATACCAAGAAACAGCATTTCCAGGCACAGAACTCGATACACCAGCCCAAGATACAGAAGTCCTTCACACACTAGATGAGTCCGAACTCAAGGCTGGCGAAAAGGAGAGATACTTGCTGTACCACAGACGCTTTGCACACCTGGGACCTGCAAAGATTGCCAAACTCCACGAAGTCACAACCCTTGAGAAGAAGATTCAAGTGCCAGAAAAGAAGGAGATCTGCGAAGTCTGCGCCTTAACGAAGATGAGGAACAGCATCCCAAAGCAGCTGAGAGACCACAAAGATGAGAAGCTAGCCCTAGTACAATTTGATGTTGCAGGACCTTTCCCAACATCCTTGCGAGCATACTTGTCAACGAGCGAGCCGGCTCGCTCAGCTCGCTCGGCTTGGACGTTTTGACCAAGCCGAATGAGCTGAGCGCGCAGTGCGCGCTTGCAAGCCGAGCGAGCTTAGGGATAGGCGCTCGCTCAGTCAGCTTGCTTAGCTTGGTTGGATGGGGCGGTTGGAAACTTGGGGCTGAAGGACTTGGTGGAGGGGCAATCTCACGATGATTTTTAGGTGTAGTGCGTAAGTTCGAAACCTAGTTATAACCTAAAATACACTCTTTTTTGCTATATTTCTAGCAAATAAGCTACTAAATTTCCGGCTAACGGCCTGGCAACAATATTCTCCTTCTGCGACACTTCACTTACTACTTATCACCCACCACACTCACCTATACTCCATCAACGCGTCTCTATTTGCAGCTATTATCTACCTCGCCGTTGCTATAATGCCAGCAAAAAGAACACGCGTTAATGCTCTAGAAATCGCGACAACTTCGAAGCGCCCTAGAGTCGCAGCGCGTCATCGCGGGACTGCCAGCCAACCTGTGCTAGTCGATACTCGGCCATTCTCACCATCTCCACCTCCTCCACCGCTGTCGCCGCGTCAAGCTCTCGTCGCCGCGCCACAAGCACCAAATTTTGAAGCGACCCTCCGAGAGTCGCGCGCCGAAGAGACAATCATCCCACCACCTGAGGGCAGCGAGCATGCCACTGTTGCAGCTTCAGGAGCAGCTAGCGAGGCTGTCGACGAGGGTTTCGTATGGGTAGAGGACAAATACGACGGCTTTAATTGGAGTCGCTACCCAAAGCACTGCAAGCCGCCCACATCACTTTCGAACCGAGCAAGCTGGGTATACAGCCATGGCTATCGCATCGCCTTGCGCAGCAACGTCGCAAAAGTCACGTGGATCTGCCACTATTGCTATAAGCACAAGTTCACTACTGTTGGCCGTGGCATACATGACGTCTCGCAGTCTCCATCAGCGCCAGCACGTCATCTCGGAGAAGACAAGAAAGGTCATGGCTTGAAGCCTCCAAGTAAGCGCACTACCGTCGCTCCTCGGAAAGAAACTCTCCTCGAACGCGCCCTTCAGAAGGGCTGCTCTCAGGCTGTTGCCAACGAGCTTACCAACTTCAATATACAAGAGTTTAGGCTTGCGGCCGTCACCTGGCTCGTCGAAAACAACCTCCCACTCTCACAATTCGAATCATCGTCTTTTCGCAATATGATACAATTAGCTAGCGTAGAGGCAGAACGAGCCCTGTGGGCATCTCATAACAGCGTCTCACGATACGTTATACGCCTGTACAACTACCTGTTACCAAAGGTTGTCGCAAGCCTTTCAGAATCAATGAGCAAGTCCATATCAACCTCCCACTCTCACAATTTCCGAATCATCGTCTTTTTCGCAATATGATACAATTTAGCTAGCGTAGAGGCAGAACGAGGCCCTTGTGGGCATCTCATAACAGGCGTCTCACGATACGGTTATACGCCTGTACAACTACCTGTTACCAAAGGTTGTCGCAAGCCTTTCAGATCAATGAGCAAGTCCATATAAGCTTTGACGATGACGACAAAAGGTGCAAGCGCGGTTACTTCGTCTCGACAACGCACATAACAACAACACCCCGATCGACACTCTCGCCTTGCAGATGGGCTTCAGCGCTACCGAGCGTCGCCTTCGCTGCGGTCCTCATACGCTTAATCTCATTGGCCAGATGCTACTCTGGGGTGAGGAGAAAGAGTCCTACGACAACGAGGAGACTGAGCGCGTGAACGAAGCTGAGAACATGGCTACTTGGCGAGGCGATGGACCATTGGGAGTGCTTCTCGCGGTTATCAACTACATCAAAACACCACAACAGTACGCTCTTTTTGAGAAGTATCAGAAGCTCGCTATTAGGGACCAGCCTGTCAACGCGCCAACAGAACAGCACAAAATCAAGGAGCCCGTCAAGCCAGTTGTTACTCGCTGGAACTCTTACGTTTCGTGTTTTGAGCGCGCTGTTGAGTTGCAATTAGCGGTTAATGGGTACGCCAACTACCATATTCAGAAGATTGAAACTGAAGACGCGTACGCCCGAAGTCGTAACAACAAGCTGCCTGCAGCGCCGGATTGGATGAGGTCTGATGGGATCAATGCCCATGACTGGCAGGTGATTGCTGAGTATATTGATGTGCTCAGGCCACTGAAACAAGCTACAAAACGGCTTGAAGGCCGCGGCAAAAGCGGTGCTTTTGGAGCAATCGCTGAGGTTATTCCAGTATTTGAATACTTACTTGGAGTCTATGAGGACCGCTTGCAAAGCTATGAAGACGTCATTCACGATGAGCATACAGAGTCACCCGAAGACCACCTTGCTATCAACCTCCGCGCTGCCCTAGTTAAAGCCCGCGAGTACTACAACAAGCTCGACCTCTCGCCAGCTTACTATGCTGCTACAATCCTTCATCCTCGCTACAAAAGCTACCTTGACGCAGCGTGGGCGGATAAGCCTGATTGGCTAGAGAGCAGCAACCGCAAGTTTCAACATTTGTGGGCGGAGTACAAAAGCTTACCGAAGCCGCGCTTACGCCCCAAAGTCAGGCACAATGATATAGACGACGCTATCAACAGCTTTATTGAGCCTGCAGGGCTTACGGAGAACGAGGAGGATGAATATGAGGCTTGGAAACGCAGCGAACCGATCGCTAGCGAGGGCGTCGACCCTATAAAATACTGGGTAGGACTCCGCGATCGCTACCCCAGCCTTAGCAAATTTGCTATCGACATGCTATCAATCCCAGGCTCAAGCTGTGAGTGTGAGCGCTTATTCAGCGAGCTGGGTGACCTCCTCGAGCCCCGTCGGCGCAGCATTTCTCCGCAACTTCTAGCAGCAATACAGTGCGATCGACGATGGATAAGAGCTGGATTTGGCAGTGGTGAGGTGCCTGTAAAGGAGGCTATCAGCGATGAGGAGATGGACGCGAAATACGGTGTACATAAGTGGGATATTAGCTGAGAAACTCAACACCAAGGTTTCTATATAACTTTCCTAATCGGGACTGAGCCCATCAAGCCGAGCGAGCTGACAGCCCTGTTTCAGCCAATCCGAGCGAGCCGAGCGAGCTGCTGGCCTCCGCTCAATTGGCTGAGCTCGCTCAGCTTGCTCATTGACATCTGTGCTTGCGAGGAAATCGATGGTTTCTTCTCATTATTGACAGCTACACGCGGAAGAACTGGGTTGTCCCGTTAAAGCAGAAAGGAGACGCCCAAAAGGAGCTTAGAGCCTGGAAGATTTTTGTTGAACATCAGACTGACGAGAAAGTCAAAGCGGCTGGGACTGACAACGCGCCAGAACTCTTGCAACAAGTTGAAGAATGGAGAGTCACATATGGAGTTGAACTGCAGCCTACCACAATTGCATCATCATATCAGAATGGACCAGCTGAGCGAAATATCCAAACTGCGGAAGCCGACATGAGGGCGATGCTCAAGGACGCTGGTCTACCAATTGAGTTCTGGGATGAAGCTGTCGAAGCAGACGCATATCTACGAAACCGCACGAGTACAGGACCTACGATTGATGGAAAGCAAGTCAGCCCTGAAGAGGCATTCACGGGAAGAACGCCATCAATTGATCACATCCGTGTATGGGGGAGTAGATGCTATTCCTACATCAACCCCAAGACAATCCCAGCAGATCAACGGCATGACAAACTCGTGGACCGCGGCAGAATTGGAGTATTCATGGGATATTCTGAGACAACAAATAAGCAGTTCAAATTCTACTCGCCAGAACTGGGATACACCTCAAGATCAAGCCGTATATCTGTGGATGAATACACGCCTGGAGGAAAAGTCGAACTGCGATTGCGGAACATCCCAGCTGGACCACAAGGAACGCAGAACATTATGCCAGACCGAAAACCAAGAGGAAGACCAAGGAAAGATCTAACTCCTACTCAACCAGCTCATGCTCAACCAGCTCCTGCAGAACCGACTCCTGCAGAACCGACTCCTGCACAACCAACAGAACAAGCTGCTACAGAACAGGTGGAACCACCGACTGCAGAAGAGATGGAGCCACCTCCTGCGGAACAAATGGACACATCGCCTGCAGAACAAGTGGAGCTGAATCCTGAGCCGATTGAGCGTAGAAGAGGAAGACCAAGGAAGTTGACTACCGCTCCTCCTACTACCGTCTCTCGAGATGAGCGAGTACCTGATCTGGCAACTGAAGAATCCGAGGAACCTGTCCAATCCTTGCCAGAAGCCCCAAGATACTTCACAAGAGGGTCTAAGCGCAAGAGGGCTGGCGAAGACACTGCAGAAGATGAAAGATTCCGCAAGATTATCAAAGCTATGCTAGCACAAGTTAATCTTACGGACAAAGAAACAGACGAAGACGCCTATATTTTTGAGAAGGCCTTTCCAGCAACAGAGATCGCAGGAATCCAGATCCCCCAGACATATCAACAAGCCATCCGTGACCCAAGGTACGGAAACCAGTGGAAAGCAGCAGTACTGGAGGAGATTACCTCACTAATGGAGAATGGAACCTGGGAAGAAGTTGTACCGTCTAAAGACGCCAACATGGTTGATTCAAAGTGGGTGTTCACAATCAAGACTAAGCCAGATGGGACAGTTGAACGATTTAAGGCACGCCTTGTGGCTAGGGGTTTCACCCAAGTACATGGAATCGACTACAACGAGACTTTTGCACCAACAGTTCGCATGGACACCTTACGTCTATTCCTAGCTACTGTCGCAGCAGAAGACTTGGAATGTTTTCATTATGACATCAAGAACGCCTTCACTGAGTCCCATCTTAAGGAACTAATCCTGCTGAAACCACCTGAAGGAGTTCACGTCAAGAAAGGACGTGTCCTGAAAGTACTTCGAAGCCTATACGGGCTAAAACAGGCTGCTCGTGACTGGAACCTGTTAATGAAGAAAGAGCTTCTTGCATGGGGATTTGTGCAAAGCCTTGCAGACCCTTGTATGTTTGTCCATGAGGAGAGAAAGATTCGAATCCTGGTCTACGTTGATGACGTCCTTGCAGCGGCAAAGGAGCAATCTCAGACTGAGTGGTTCTGGAAGATGCTTTCTGGACGATTCAACGCCAAGAACCTGGAGGAGGTACATAAGGTCCTTGGAGTGCGAGTTACGAGAGACAGAAAGCATCGTACAATCTTCCTTGACCAAGAGCAATACCTGTGTGCAGTACTTGAAAAGTTTGGAATGTCAAGCAAAAAGCACAAGGATAAGAAGATCCCATCTGCCGATTACACCTCATTCAGACCAGCTACTGACAACGACACTCGAATTGACACAACTGAGTACCAACAGGGCATTGGAAGCCTGATGTTCGCTATGGTTCTTACACGTCCAGATATTGCATTCACCCTTGGGAAGCTAAGCCAATACATGAGCGATCCAGCAGAACACCATGGCTATGCACTGAAAACTGCTACGGTATCTTCGATCGACAGTCTCATGAAACTAC